TCTCTCTCTCACACACACACACATGCACGCGCACATATATGATGAACACACAAGAGGACTCAAACACATTACAAGAAAGCACAAATACACCAGAAAAAAACAACTGTTCACTGGTACATTTACATTATTACATAATTACATTATTATTATTGTTGTTGTTGTTGTTGTTGTTGTTTTAATGCCTATATGGCATTAAAAGAAAATACATTACATCATTACATATTACCACTAATATAGCTCCACTGAGTTCTCTCCTTTTCCCCACCTCCTGTATCCTTGAATTTCTCCCCCCGGCTCTCGTCCTTGTCACATCCTCACAGCTTCCATTCACCAGTCGCAACAATGGCCCATTTCCACAGCTTTGATTTAGAACTGAAAAATGACATTTAACTGGAAAGGTGACAATTCAGAAGAAAAGAAATGAAGGCATTTGAAGCTTTTCTCCCTGCAAAAGGTAGCTGGTACTGCCTGCTTTGGCTTAAACAAAGATGTGACTACCTTAATAGTGCTTTAATGAGTAAGGTAATTGGCCTCTGCGGTGTTTTAGAGCACTGCTCACTTCATGTAGCTGACCTACATGCTCTTGCAGCCGCGTTACAGCACTTTTACACAAACACACACACATGGGTTCAGCATAGGAGGAGGAAGAAATCAGCCAAGCAACATAGATTCAAGCCCTGAGCTCACCCTGTAGTGTGTGCACTGTGGTCTGAGGGTGTGGGTCACTGATGGCCAGTGGTTGGACAGCTTGAACTGCTCCAGCCAGACATGTACAAATGAGTTTTTATAATATTTTATTTTATTTTATTTTATTTTATTTTATTTTATTTTATTTTATTTTATTTTATTTTATTTTATTTTATTTTATTTTATTTTCTCTGCATTCCATTTCATACTAAATCTATATTTTGACATTCCCACCTGTAGCCTTTTCTCCCTCCTAAGCTGCAGCTGCTGGGAAAGCAGCTTTATCTCTGTTCTTCCCAGAGGTCCATGTTCGAATTCGGACTCCTGCCCAAGGACAGACAGATGGTCAGCCTTCCTGAAGACTTCATCCACCCTCCCACTTCTTCCTGCTCAGAAATTTAAAATTTATTAGGACTACTACAGAAATAAAAGTGAGGGATTACTTGTACTGCAGGTAAGTCCTCTCATAGTGTCAACAGAAAAGAATAAAGTGGAGTTCAGCGTGTAATGTCAAACAGTAAAGGCTACACTCTCTGTTGCATGTAGCTTGTAATGTGCAGCGGCGGAGCTGGTTGGGAAGGCAAGTTCAGCTTCACAGTGTTATCATATCTCATGGCCAACTCTCCAGTGCTGCTTTAAATGTGAATCGTGTGATAAATTCCCCAAGGTTGCTCAGGCAGCACAAAGCTGAGCATCTGCTTTCTTTTGCTGCCGGTCAAAATCATCAGTCTCTCCTTCTGTTCTGTTAGTTTGAAAGTGAAACTTCACCCTCTTTAACTTCTGAGGTTTTACATCAGGACGTGATTAAAAAATATATATATGATTTTAGCAGGCTATTTAAATATAACCTCGGAAGAACAACAACACGTGGTATACTTCAGCACGCTCTTTTTTTAAAGCAGTGTTTGAGTTCATTGAGGTTTGAGGACATTTCTCTTTCAGGGAGACTGTTTTAGATGTGCCATTGATCTTTCAGAGAGAACAGCCTTTCACCTGTGGACAAAACAACTAGTCATACCTTTTCAGTCTATTTCTAATTGCACTGTCTTGAACTTTGATGTTTAAGATGCTAGCTGAGGTTTTCAGTTTTTCTGAGCACTGCACAGTCTGAATTTGTTGGGACGTCCACTCCTGCAATGACTGTGGATGGTGATAAATTATAGGTTGTATAAATTGTGTGTAACCCTTGTGCAGTATGTAAAGCATTAGAGCTGAAAGAGGGTGTACTTAATTTTTTATACTTATCTAAATATGTGATGTAATAATATAATCCTACATATAATACATATTCTGACATTTAAAAAACCTTTTCAACAGCTCGTTTCTGAATAACTCCCTAAACATATACTAGTGATAAATATGCGGTTGACCACAACTCAAAGCCCAGAGACGAGGTTACGCACACTTCTACTTTTCAGGAGAAACAAAGGGGGCTGTCGCCGCTTAATCATGCAGAACAATCTAGGTCTACGCCATCACACAGGGCATCGTTATCGAGGCAGGGGCACAGCACACAGTCAGTCATTTGAAGTGTGCGCATTCTTGGACCGGAGTGTGGGCGGTGAGTTTGCAGGGTTCTTTATGCAGAATGAGCCAAGGAAACAAAGGCAAGCACAAGAGCAGACAGCATGGGTTATGTTGAGGATTTTTAGAATTTATAATGCTCAGCGGAGAAGTGAAAGTGGCTAAAAGTCACAGATAATGTCAATATTCACTGAGTTGTTCTATGTTTTTAGTTCACAAACCAGCTTTAATACTGATGACCTCTTTTTTTTCTCCACATTCTTCCACCAGTCTCTCCATTAGTTACAGCTATCCACTCTTTCTTCAAAGTGTCTGGGGGCTGGAGATGAACAGATCAGTCTAGCTTTACTGTAGTACATAGAGCATATCATCTTCATTTATTCATCTGATAAACAAATAAACAAATACATCTACATTTAACACTGGTATTATGTGTAACTTATTTCCTGGCTTCACTGGATCTGAGAGCAACGCCAAATAAATTAAAACACAGGAAGCCAGGATTAAATGGGTAGCATTTGCCTATTTTTTAAACTTTACTGTAATATGATCACATGTGTGAGTACAATATGAATACATAGCAGCTCTGATTAAAACAAATAGCTCTGATTTTGAATGAAAATGTATCACCTAAAATCCAAGTCAGCTTTTGAACAGAAATCTGGAATCAATGTAGTGAAGATTATAATTCAAATGCACGTACATATGTCAATATTAACATTTAATCCATTCCCTTGTCTCGCTTGTTTAGTAAAAACAGATGAAAAATTTGCATTTATTGAAAAGCTGATTTTTAATAGGCAGCCAGAGCAAATAACACCGATGTTCTCAAGTTCTCACAGGCAAAGCAACTTCTTTTAAAGTTTAAAGGAGGTGATAACCTTCTCATCAACAAAATGCCAAATATGAGCTCACGCCAACATGCAACCGCTGAACTAGGTCCTGTAAACCCAAGGGCACAAGCACAAACCCAATCCCTCAAGGTTGCCACAGTATTGTTTACCTTTTTCCTGCAGTGTTGTGGCTTTTGCATTACCCTGACCTGGCTCGTAACCAGCTCAGACCGCCTATAAAAAGGCAGATGTGAGCATTCGGACCCTACGGGTCTGTGCAGGCTGCTCTACATCATCACCCTTCTCATGGATCTGAGCTCTACTTGTGAACAGGCGATGAGTCCTGTAGGCTTAGACGCCGTGGTGGCAGATCTGTCCGTGACCTCAAATGCCACCCAATCGCATGAAATATCAATGGCAACCAGAACGCTGATACTGCTCGTCTGTCTGCTGTTGGTTGCCTGGAGTCACACGGACAAGAAAACTGCGCCAGGTTGGTTCAGGTTGCTCTAATTAGGAGTTTGTTTGTTTTTACAACAGAATGTTGTGAGAGCTGAAAATATATTTACTGCTTTTTTAATACAACAGGTCCTTCTTTCTGTTTGGGTTTGGGCCCACTTCTGTCATATCTGAGATTTATCTGGACTGGCATAGGCACAGCCAGCAACTACTACAATAACAAGTATGGAGACATTGTTAGAGTCTGGATCAACGGAGAAGAGACGCTCATACTAAGCAGGTTAGTTGAACTCAATCTGTCAGTGCTGATGCTACCAAACAAGCCAGTCAAGAAGTAAAATGAAAAGCTGCAGTGTATTTTTTGTTATTGTTTTTTTTTTTTTTTTAAACCAGAGCTTCAGCAGTGCACCATGTGCTGAAGAACGGAAACTATAATTCACGTTTTGGGAGCATGCAGGGACTCAGCTGCATCGGCATGAACGAGAGAGGCATCATATTCAACAACAACGTAACTCTGTGGAAAAAGATACGCACCTATTTTGCTAAAGGTAAAACTGCAACTCTTTCATGAACTTCAAAACAAAGTCAGCTATTCAAATGTGATTTTTAAACAGCAAATATTTGTCTAAACTAAATCATAAAACCATCTCATGTTGTCAGCTCTGACAGGCCCAAATTTGGAGCAGACGATGGATGTTTGCGTCTCCTCCACAAAGGCTCACCTGGACCACCTGGACAGCCTGGGACACGTTGATGTCCTCAGTTTGCTGCGCTGCACTGTGGTGGACATCTCTAACAGACTCTTCCTGGACGTACCTCTCAATGGTGAATAGGATGCATGAATATGTTACTTGTGTTATCACGCGAGCTGTACATAAAGAATTTCTTGTCTCCAAAAGTGGATCAAAAAGATACGGGGACAATTTTAGAATGCTAATATATTTATGTTACCTTGCATCCAGAGAAAGAGCTGCTGCTGAAGATTCAAAAGTATTTTCACACATGGCAGAATGTGCTTATCAAACCTGACATCTACTTCAAGTTCGGCTGGATTCACCACAGGCACAAGACAGCAGCGTGAGTCTCTCAGTCTCATACATAAGCCCACCTTTAGTTTCATCTTTTTAAATATGTGTCATCTGTTATCTCACAGCCAGGAGTTACAAGATGCCATTAAACGTCTTGTAGATCAAAAGAGGAAAAATATGGAGCAGGCAGATAAGCTGGACAACATCAACTTCACGGCAGAGCTCATATTTGCACAAGTCAGTCTACGAAGTATTCTCCTTCTGCAAATATACTTTCGTTTAAAGTAAAACCTTTCACTTGTGGTACTTATGTTTTTTCATTTTCAAGCCCTCTCAGCAGTTCCTCTTTGCATGTGAAATGCTGGATTTCTTTTCCGCCTACCAAGTAAGGTCAGACAGCATATTTGCATTCAACTGTGTTTTCAGAACCACGGCGAGCTGTCTGCTGACGATGTGACACAGTGCGTGCTGGAGATGGTGATCGCAGCTCCGGACACTCTGTCCCTCAGTCTCTTCTTCATGCTTCTGCTCCTCAAACAAAACCCGCACGTGGAGCTGCAGCTGCTACAGGAGATAGACGCTGTTGTGGGTAAGAGGCTGCAGCAGTTAAGAAAAAAATGCAATTATAACTGATTTGCTGCACATCAAATATACATTTTGACACTTGGCACTGTTTCACTCTAGACTGACAGCTCTTACTATTACGCTTACACACCCCATTTAAAAGAATAAGTAGCGCAACAGGGCCCAACTATATCACCAAAACCACAAAACCAGGCCACAATAACCTTCATTAACTCAGGAGTATTGCATTTCACTGCATTTGCTCCAGGCTGAAGAACTTGAATTCACAACAGTCTGTTGCTGCTACAGGTGAGAGACAGCTTCAGAACCAGGATCTTCACAAGCTGCAGGTGCTGGAGAGCTTCATCAATGAATGCTTGCGCTTCCACTCAGTGGTGGAATTCACCATGCGTCGAGCCCTGTCTGATGACATCATAGAAGGCTACAGGATACCGAAGGGCACAAACATCATTCTGAACACAGGCCGAATGCACCGCACCGAGTTTTTCCTCAAAGGCAATCAATTTAATCTGGAACACTTTGAAAAAAATGTGAGTAGTGCTTTCATTGCTTTACTTTTTCTCCTGGTTAGAAAGAGGTGGAACTTGGTTGAAAAAGTTGATGTCACACTTATTCGTTCTTGTCTGGCACTTGTTCCAGTTGAACCAGTCAGCAATTAGAAACACGTCAATCAGAATCTTTCAGTCCAGCCTGATGAAGCCACACCCACACAGATCATCTGAGCTTTGTGTTCTTGAAAATACATCTTTCCTTTTACTTTTTATCTCATCGGTCCTCTTGTTCTGCCTCCAGGTTCCTCGGCGCTACTTTCAGCCGTTCGGTTCAGGCCCTCGCGCGTGCGTTGGCAAGCACATCGCCATGGTGATGATGAAATCCATTTTGGTGACACTGCTGTCTCAGTACTCTGTTTGTACTCACGAGGGCCCGACCCTGGACCGCCTCCAACAAACCAACAACCTTTCCAAGCAGCCTGTAGAGGCTGAATATCTCCACATGAGGTTCTTACCCAGGCAGAGAAGCAGCTGTCAAACCCTCCGAGGCCCGACCCTTTAGCTGTACCTGTACTTTTATATACTTAACTTGTATAATCTTATAATGACACAAAGCTAGCCTTTATATTTTGATATACGCAAAGATTGTATTTGTACTCAAACTGTATGCATGATGTGAAATGTACATTTAAACCTGCTAACACTGAAATAAATGTAAATTATTGTGTCACAAATGTGTGTTGTCGTCTCATCATTTTGTCTGCACGTCATACATATTTAGTTCACAGTTTTTTGTTTTTGTATTTTTTTTATTTGACCCCACATTTTTCTCATTCTCCTTTTTTAAATCTCTTACACCTAAATTTAACTAATCAAACGATTAAAAATTTATTAAATGCGGTATAAATGTGCGTTTGTCATTTAAGAACACAGAAAATAAATAAAGGAGGATTTCAAATTTGTCCTTTTATTACAAAAAAACCCAAAAACAAAGGCAAAGTCCAATGGAAGCAAGGGGGAATGTAAATACAAGTTATTACACAGAGAATAAGTAGAAGAAAGCGATGCATTCTAAGTCTACTCCAACTCTGAGAAGTAAGTTCATTTAAATTTTTATTGCACATGAAAAAAGCGAGAGAAAACCAGGCATTTTCCCAGAGTTCCTCTGCACCCACACACTTTAATTCCAAACAATGACACAACAGCTAACTCCCCTACTGTACTGTGCAAAAGTCTTCAGCAAGCCTTTATTTCTTTAAAATGTATTTCTTCCAAAAAGCCAGATTTTTTTGTAATTTTGTGCTCTTTAGGAATAGTTTTCCAGACTTTCTGAAAGTCTTTGATTGCTTTTCTTTGGACACTTCTTTTTCACTCATTGTTCTCTTTTCTTTTGTGAATCTCTGAAAAATGCCAACGATAACACAGTTTGACATGATTGGCATGAAATAGTATTTTTGCACCAACAAGGTGATTCCCAAAGAGCTATAAGGCAAAAAGTTGTCATATTTCAGCACGCCGTGTCAGGCTTGGAAAAAAAAAAAAAACTATGTATCAGGAAGTCATGTCGTTACAAACAGTGCCACAGACAACCAATGCAAGTCTGATAACACCAAAGTAACCAGATCTTTTTTTTTTCTGTCTAATTGCAAAACAAGCAAGAGATGATTCACTTACTCCAGTAAACAGTGCATCATGGTGCTTTTCAATAGATCTAACATGTGTGACTTTAAGATCTATAAGGCATCGTTAGTCTCGAGATTGTTCTGAGTGGGTGATAAAACTGCCCTTCGACAGCCACAGGAAGAAAAAAAAAGGCATCTCTTGTTGCAATTATGTAACACTAACATTGGTCAGGAGAGGGCGCAGTAACACCTAATACAGTGATTTAAACTTTATCTTCGGCGTCTAGTCTTTTCATTATGTTCAGTTGCTCTGCCTTTGGGCAAAAGTGGCTAATACATTTCATACTGAGATGCTTCAGCTTGTATCGCTTTGCTAGAAGCAATCAACAAACACGCTGAACAATCACTGTTCAATGTTTGAAAGAAAAAGGGCTGAGAAAGAAACCGTGTTCCAACAGGCAGTGTGCAGCTTTGAGTTTCAGCTGCGCAGTGCAGTTTCTGCATGTCAACAGTCAGCTGTGTGTCAGTGATACAAGAGAGTGACACGTTCAAAATAAGAGTATCTGTCTCAGCTTGACTGATGCGACCTCTTGGGGCCTTATGGTGCTGATCACAGTGGGATGGGAGGGTATTAAAGGAAGGGTAACACGCACACAGCTGCTCGGTAGGCTAATCAGTACCTGCAACAAATCATTTCGGCACCTCTGCAAGAAGCAAAGTCACTTGTCTGTGTGACTGTGTGTGTGTGTTTGTTACTGTTGATGAGACTGTGTCTTTCTCTCTGTAATATTGTTTTCAGTGCGTGTGTGTGTGTGTGCATCACAGATCACAGGCTGTTCCTTGCAGGTGTCATGGGATATAGCAAATGAATCATAATAGTCTCATCAACCCCAATCTCATTTCTGCCCTCGATCAGGATGGAAAACATTTTACATGCAGCCCAGACAGATCTTTATGAGATATATCTTGCAAATTTGCGAGGAAAAAATGTTTCATCATAATAATCTCAATGACATCTGTGAGCTTAATAACATTAAGAAGAGCTGGAGAGAATTAAGTTATTAAGATGGATGTAAATGAGTGAATACTGACAAACATCAAGCTAAAAATACACTGAAGCTGCTGTTCTTGAGGTTTTTTCATATCCAACCTGCTGCTCATCTGTCAATTTTTTTTTCACAGTTCAAAAACCCTTAAGGCGAGCCGTGTTTATCTATCTTAGATTTATGTTAAAAGAGAACAAAGCCTGAACAGGCAGATTATCGAGCAGCATGTGACAATTTAAAATATAATTTAAAATAAAGATCTGTATACATTCAATTTCCAGCAGCTTTTGACAAATGTGTTAACAGCCAGTGTAAAGTAGCCTCAGGGTGTAATGGTGTTTTAATTATCACATCCTCATGCACGGGCCTAGTTGAGTCATTGTACATCACCATCAGCAGGAACTGCAAAAACTTTTTTATAGTACTGATAACTTTTAGAGAAATCCCCCCTCATTTTTTTTTTCTTTAAGAAGTTATTAGAACTCTATTTATAGGGTCTATTTTTTATGTCCCTCTTAAGGGTAGCTAGTCTTTAGAAATGAGAATTAGCTCTAAAAAAAAACTCAACAAAACAATAACTAAAGAAATCAGCTACTCTGTGTGTCAAAGGAAATGCAACGTGACTCTAAGTCATCAAAGTAAAATATCAAAAAACTGCAATAGCATGACCTTTGACATCTGCACCCATCATAGCAGTGGAGCAGCTCAAGTAGGGTTACAGGAAAGTAAAAGTCAACAACCAAAGCTGATCTATGTTGTTATGGTTTTCTGGCTTCTGTACTGGTGATGCTACAGTCACAGTAGGAAAAACAGTGGTTGGAGACGACGACACGCCCAAAACTAACAGCTTGCTCTGAACTTGGGTTCTCGCTGCCTTTGAAATGTTACTTCAAAGGCGGGGACCCGGCCTGTCACCACTCACTGTAAGTTGCTGCCCTCAAAGCAACTGCAAAGAAACAGAGTCAGTCTGCTATAACTTTGCATTTGGATGGGGTCAGGCCGGCAACTACGTGCAATCTGTAATAAAATGGTGATTCACTGTGATAAATCAGGGAAAATCACAAATCTGTTTCCTTTGATGCAAATCTATTGCTGCGTACATACAAAAACACTGATATTAAACAGAAATTTGCTTACATATAGAGTCCAGCCAGAACCTCGTAGATCTGAAAAAGATCAGAAATAGTGATGGTGTTGCTGCAGGACAGCAATTTTATACAGGAATATAAGCAGAATATGAGCAACCAACAGCTGAGTCAAGTTCTCTATTGCAGAGAGACACACTGTAGACAAGTTACACTAATCAGCACACAGATTAACTACGATGCCATCTGTCTGCATTTATAAATTAGATGGCAATTACTTGCAAACCTTCGCCAAACTGTCTGAGAGTAACTGCAGTCAGAGCAGGAATGTTTGGGGACAGGTTGCCTCCCACCAGGCAGCTTGTGCAATCCCCTTGTAATGGAAAGTGGTCGTCCAGAGGCCGAACAACTACCACAACTACTTGCTATTGGTCACTGAATGTGAAAAAATTCAGTGCAAACACCAGGGAACCTCTGCTTTTTCCTAGTCACAAAGAGGTTACTCAAGTGTGCTGAGCCATAATGATTCATTCATAAGTTTTTGGTGGCTTTTATTAGCACGAGACACTGTAGTCTATCAAACCTTAACAGCTCCTAAGGTACTTACTGTAGTATACCAATGGCATAGTCTAAAATCTCCTTTTAAATACAATGAACCTGAAATCATGATGTCCCCCATCTTCTTGGCTTGCTTGTAGTTGTTGCTATTCCAGCTACAGATGGGCTATGTCATGTTACTGACTGTGGAAGTATAATCTGAAAAAAGCACTAATGGTGGAGCCAGTGAGTCCCCAAAACAATTTGGTTTGACAGGCCAGACGCGACAGAGATACAGCACTTCATGAATCCTTAATAGAAGTCTACGCTAGAATCCTTTGACACCAGAGGTGAGCTTCCCAGAGACAAAGTCTAATTTATATATTTCTTAACAATTTAAATAAATTTAGCTGATGAAAACCTCAGGGGGTGGGGGTGGTGGTGAGCAAACTCTTAGCCGATGGTGCTCCTAGAAAGGAATTCAACTGAATACATTACAGTTCCAAATGAATCGTGCATCACTGAAGAGTCATCATCTCCAGACGCTGTCTATTCCAACACCAGACTTCCTAGCAATAGCCAGAAATCTACAGCTAATAGCCAGAGATACTTGACTGTGAACCAAAGTGGCAGGCTGATCAAACAAACAAACCAACTCTGCCATCTCTTAAGCAACAGTAAGCCCTGGAAAAAAAAACCCTAATGTGTACCATGAGTGTGGTTGCACGGTAACTATTAAGGCAATAATAGGAGAACGTAATAAGAGAAAATGTGGCCCCAAAGCAGATGCCTGTTATACCACGCATCTGCTATATGACTTTGTGATGGCTGTGTGTGTGTGTGTGTGTGTGTGTGTGTGTGTGTGTGTGTGTGTGTGTGTGTGTCCGTATGGGAAATATTTTTCAAGAAGAATTGAAAAATACTTGTGGTTTCAGATTGTGTCAGCCTTGTCTGCTTGAAGCACAAAGATGATCCACAGTAATGTGTTTTGAGATTTTACACTTTGTAACTTTTTTGTGATTTCATTTAGGATGAAATCAGAGCACTTAAATGAAAACATGCATATCGCAAATCCACCACAATGGACTGTATTACACTTGGGCTAACTGTGATCTGATGTTCTTTCTCTTTAGGAAGTCCATGTTTCTTCATTTGTGGTTTTCATTTGTCACATGAGGTACATTTTCCATACCCATCTATTTATTTTAATTCTTCCATGACAGGTTTACAGAGGCAGACAGCCAGACAGCTTTAAAATAACTCTGACGCAAT